TTCTCAGCTAAAAGCATCAGCTACTCCATTTTGAGCTTAAAAAGTCATTTCTGTACCCAGGAGATGTACTCGTTCTCAGTGGAGTGGGCATAGTAACACGCACTGTGCAGTGAATTATATCTATGTGATTATACCCTCTAGGCAACAACCTGGTGCTTAAGAAATGAGTCACTCAGAAAGACCAAGGCTGAGGGAATCAGGTTCAGTGATTATAAGATTTGCTTCCAAAAGATCTGGACCAAAGTAATCAGTGTTCCCCCAAGATATGCTTGTGCTAATAGCCAATTCGGTGGTTTATGTAAAATATTTTATGTCATTTGATGGGTCCCAACAGTCTAAAGAAGCAGTAACCACACACAAGGACTAGGATTCACAGTGTGAGAGGCTGGATGGGCTCTGATGGGCAGGAATAGCCAGGAGATGTGAGTGAAAACCTGCCCTGGCTAATGATGGCTGTGCTAGTAGGGGGAGATCTGCCAATGCAGAATAGGAGCAGGTTTCTGGGAAATACATCCAGGAAAAGGGAAGAGACAGGACTAGAAGGCAAGAAATGCGTGCGGGGAAACAGTGGCAGGAAGAGGAAAGAACAAATGAGAACTGGCAAGTTGATAAAAGAACAAAAGGGCTTTGTCTCACATTAAAGGCAGCCAACTACACAAATCATTTTCCCATGTAAGAAATTACTGCTGCTACCCCAGGGATGGTACATGGTTGCAAATGGGAAGATGGGTTCTTTACATTCATAACTGGGTCTGCAAGTGCTCCATCAATATGGCTCATGATGCTCTGAGCCACGTCAGGCGAGTGGAGAAATTGAAACTTGACTGTGCAGATAGCTGTAATCCCTGTTTTACAAACTGACTGTCCATCTGTACGTGGGAATAAGTCATCAGCTGGTGGAACAGAAAGAACAGTGGCTTCTAAAAGGAGACAGGAGGATCAGTTTATTCCTCTTTCACTCCTGACAGCAGCTGTTGACAGCAGCGTGCAGCAGTCAGTGGAGCCACATAGGTATGAGTCAGGTAAGAATCAGGCGTAAGCCTGAGATTCCCTTTCAGCCTGATTTTCAGAAGTGCTGAGCGCAGGCAGCTCCTATTGAAACCAAGGCACCGTTTAGCTTAATTCTGGTTTACGGCAGCAGAGCTGGGAATATAAACCACGTCTGAGAGGCACCTGGGCCACAATAAATATGAATTTGTTTGGTTCTCCATAATTGCATAGGCTATGGCATGCATTTTTTCCTAATTCTTTGGGAATAGTCACTTATGATTACGGATTTGTTACAAAACGTAGATTTAAAGTGAAAACTGCATGAACTCTCTTTTTTATTATAAATGCCCAAGCAGTTACTGATCTATTTATTAGCTTTCTGGGGTAAGAAGAAAGATTCCAGCTTAACATCATATCTATGGGGCCATAAAGTGAGGGGGGTGGTTGCCATGACACAGAGTCTGTGTATGAGAGTGCTTTACATCCTCTAGAATCAGCTTTTGGCAATGGGGTTTTCTGCTAGACTGAGAGAAAACTGATGTTCATGATCGAGTCTGGTCTTTAGACTTTGTCTCAAGAGTGACTAAGTCATGACACCGGTGAGGTCTCAACTTGACAATCCCCTATTGCCACTGCTCGGCTGTCCATAGCCCAGGGTATAAATTTACCTGTCTTCCAGCTCTCCATTTACCGGCACGAGCTTATCTCACTGCTTGTGCTGTAAGCATTTCAACAGCAGCCACTCTAAAATTAGAAACTGATGTTATGGAAAACTTAATAACATTAAAGAAATGCCAACCCATCTTCTCTGCTGTCTTGGGCTGTGCTTTGTTCCTCTGAGGCATTCCTTGCATTTCACAACCGACGGGAGGATGGGGGCTCAGGACTGTGCTCCAGCAGGGATACATGATATAGCTCTGGCCCCAGACTAGGATCCCACAGCATTTATGGATCCCCCTGACGTGCCTTCTCCTCAGCCCCCTTTCCAGCAATAAGATTGCTCACTGGCTTTCTCTCACCTTTGCTCTTGGGGTTAACGCTTTGGGGAGACAAGCACACTTGTAGCTCCCAGCACAGGGCATCCCTTGTCTCAGCTCAGGCAAACTGAGCCCTAGAAACTCAGCTGATCCTGACTCTTTTCCTCCCCAGGAAACACATTTCCCATTCATTTAGTCACCTAAGCCCCTTTTAAAAGCTTCTTTTGAGTTGTATTCTCTCCAAAAGGCAGCATCTTGCACTAGAGCCATGCCTGCTGGCTGCTCCCCCGTGGATGCTGCACCCTGGGACCTTTTACCTGGGGTAGGGTTCAGTTGTAACCCCAGGAGCTGGAGCCTCTCCTCCCCAGCTGCAGTGAGGATTTCCCTTCATAGCGCTGTGAACAGGCAGAAACAAAGAGCTCAGAGGAGGTGGGGAGGGGAGATGGGAAGAATGAGCTGGGTTAGGGGAAATACAGCCTGGAAGTAAAGGAAAGGACTAGTTGATCTGAAAGCCCCGATAAAAGCCCAAGACAAAGGACGAAAGAGCCTGGGAGATTATCAAGGGGAAGCGGGAGGAGGAGCAGAAAGATGCAGCAGACCCGAAGTGGGAATGATGTAAAGTGCTGCAGGGAGGAGGGGAGTTTCCTACCTAGAGCAGAGGGTGGTTTAAGTTACTCAACCACCTCCGCTTACAGGAATCGAGCCCCTTTCTCCCTTCTGGCTGGGAGCACCTGAAAAAAGAAGGAGCTGCTCCAGCAGGGAAAAAGTATCCCTGTCCATCCCACAATCCTGACAGCATCAGCCCCGATTGCTCATCTATTTCCAAGTACAACCGAGTCATTTCGCTGGTGGGCAGAGAAGTCAGGGACACTTTGCGTGTCCAGCACCCTGCAGTGAGGAAGCATTAGTACTGCTGTTGTTAGCCTCGTTATTTTCTTCTAATAAAAAGGTGGCCATGACTCACTCCATTAAGAAACAAAAGCAGAGCTGTAATCTACTGAAAGGCAGTTGTTTGGATGCTCGGCATTAGGTGTGTAAAAGCAGGAAGGTCAGCTGCAGGTCAGGTCTGGTCATGTTCACCCTGCCCAGGACAGGCCAAACTTCAGGTATTCCCCATAGAGGTTGTTTGCTGGGGTGGTGTGATCTGCCCCCTTCACTTCAGCCGGGGGGGGGGGGGGGGGGGGTTGAAGCTCTCTTTCCCACCCCTCCACATATTTCACTTGGGTTTCCTGAGAGGAAATGATGCTCTCGTGTGACTCCACTGGCCCCCCGCTTCCTCCCGGGAGGGAGGAGCACGCTAGCGCCTGCCCGGAGCCCCTCTCACCCTCCCTGTGCCGCACTGGGACCAGATCTCCAGCTGGGCTGTTACTGGGGGAGCGAGCCCCCAGGGAGCCAGGCTGCTTCTCAGGGAGGAAGAAGCCGCTCCTGAGGCTGGGAGGCAGGAAAGGCAGGTTATGTTCAGGAGGTTTCCTGTGGTGGGATCAGTCACTGTGCCCCTGACAGTACCAGATTGCCCCCCTGGTGAAAAATACAGGGGAGGAATCAGCCCGCCCATGGGATGATGTGAAGGTTTTCAGCACGGCTGTGGCCATGGCTTCTCGTGGTGGGGATCTGGTTCTGGCAGGGACCACACTAGCACATGGGGACACCCAACCCAGCCATGCAGCTCTGGCCATGTCCATGATGGCTGCAGGAGCAGGGAAGGAGCTGCTTTGCATGACGGCAGTGGCCAGGTGAAGCACCCACGCTAAGGCGCTCCGTGAACATCTGCCCCTACCCACAAGCTGCTTCTATTTTTGTTCCACCTCGTACCCTGAGTGACTCAGAGGAGGGGAAAAGGGGGGTCAGGTTAGAAGAAGCCAGCCGGGGGCTGCGGGGGGGAGCATTGAAAGAGGAAGACGAGGAGAAGGTGCTTCGAAACCAGTAGTTGCTATTCTTTTAATCAGCCTGAACCTTTTCCTCCGCACTCAGCCTCTTTCATGCTTCTCTGTTTCAGCTGCAGGCAATCTGAGGCAGCGATGGCACTTCCTGCCTCCTATTGAGGTGAACATACTTTCAGGGCACCATCAGAATAAATGACGCCTTGCTCTTAGACAGCTCCACTGTAATCTTTGGGGCCGCAGTGAGCTGGAGCTCATCCTTTTGCCCAACTTCTTCCAGGAATTTCCAGTTCTCTTTTTGGTCGCTTTGCAAGACTTATCTACAAGGAAAAGGCAAGTGCCCAATTTCCTAATTCCTGTGCATCTTAGTGTCTTGGCTTCTGGACACAGGCACAGGCAGAGGTCTGTCATGTATGTCCTGCCGGTCCATGAGGCACAGTCTCGCAGCCTTAAAGCCCACCACAAGGAAGGGGACGCAAGACCCCTCCTCAAACAGCCATGCAAGCAATTTTTCCCATTGCAGGTGTCCTCCATCCCTGACCCGCTCTCCAAGCACTCATTCATTCTGCAGGAATGGCGCATCTTGCTTTGTCCCAAGCTGCTACTCCTCGTTTCCTCCTTTGCTGCCAGATAACCGCATCCCCGAGCATATTCCCCGGGCAGCCCACGCTTATCGCTGTGATCAGCCTTTGCTGGGGGTGAGAACATGCACAGAGAAGGGGGAACAAGGGGAACTGAAACCCCTCTTTGCAACCTGGTGTGAGAGCCCTGCTCCAGCACTGCCATTCCTCCTTCCCCCCTTCCCTCTCCCTCCCTCCGCTCCCGGGGCAGGGGTGATGCCGGGATGAGCCTGGGGCCGATGACTGGAGAATTTTTGAGGCGTTTTTCAGCTTCCTCTGCCTCCAGCCTGACTAACGCTGCCTGCGCGCCCGCGGCCCCCGCCGCGCAACGGCGGAGGGAGGGGATCCCCGCCAGGGGGCGGTGCAGCCGGGCGGCACGGGGCGGGGGATGCCCATATTTGGCAAGCGGGCGCGTCACTCCCCTTATATGGGCAGTGTCGTCAAGGCCCGGCCTCCCATTCATATAAATGCCCGGTGGCGGCAGCCGGGATTCCCTGCCCGGGGTCGGCGCGGAGCCGCGGTTCCTCCGTCCCTCCCGTCCTATCGCCGCGCTCCCGCGCTAGCACCGGGACTCCCCAGCCGCTCTCCCTGCTCCTGCCCCGCTGCCGGCATGAAAGTCACGTCCCTTGACTGCCGGCAGCTGAGGAAGCTCCTGCGGAAGGAGCCCTCCCGCTGCCTGGTGCTGGACTGCCGGCCCTACCTGTCTTACTCGGCCTCCTGCCTCCGCGGCTCTCTCAACGTCAACCTCAACTCCGTGGTGATGCGGCGGGCCCGCGGCGGGGCCGTGCCGCTCCACTTTGTGGTGCCCGACGAGACGGCCCGGTCCCGGCTGCTGCTGGGCGGTGAAGGGGCGGCCGGGACCGCTCGGCTGGCGGCCGTGGTGGTGCTGGACCAGGGCACGGGGCACTGGCAGAAGCTGAAAAAGGACAGCACGGCACAGATCGTCCTCAATGCCCTGCTCTCCAGCCTGCCCGAGGCTGGGGCCAGGGTCTGCTTCCTGAAAGGTGAGAGGGGCAGCGGGGAACGGGAGGGTAGGAGTTTAGGAGGGCGATTTGGATCGATCCCCCCAGCCTCTCCGGCTGGCGGCGGCCCCGCAGTGGTCCCGTTCCTTTTCCGCCACCACCCCCCCACCTCCCCCGATTAACGTGGTTGTTGTTGGAGGGCAGGGAGGTAACGCCGGGATTTCGTTTCTTTTCCACCCACTGGACATAAATCCCGGATAGACTCGGCGGGCTGAGCTGAAATGCCTTTCCGCTCACCCCCGCCGCGCGTTTAATAAGCTGATGGGAAGCAAAGAATATTAGGGAAGAAGAGCAAAAGTTGAGGATTATCAAAGGGAGAAGTGGGCGAGAGGGATCGGGGCTGCGTGGAAAATAAAATCCGCCCCTTGGGGAAAAGGAGACCCGAAGCTGCCGCTTCTCGCTCTCCGCCCGGTGACACGGGGCGGCTCGTGTTGGGCGCCCGAACCCCGGGGATCGTTGCCTGCTCCTCCACCCGAGAGCTCTGTCTCCCCATCGGGCACACCGAGGAAGCCCATAGCCAAAATTCCGGGTTTGTTGGGGGACAGAAATACCTCCTCACGTGTATTATAGCCCTTTGATTGAGGCTCTTTTTCTTCCGTGTAACTCGGACACAATAAAACGATAAAAAGAAATCTCAGCCCGCCCTTCCCCTGTTCTCCCACCCCTGCCTTCCCTCTGCTTCTCCAGGCAGCGCCCTTGTCCCTTTGCCCTCTCTGTTGTTCTTGCCCCCTTCCCACCCCTTGCTTGCCCTCGCAGCCGGGCAGTGCTCGGAGCCCGCCCCTGTCACCGCACACCCGGGGCTGCAGGGTTCCCCGGAGGGGACCACGCCGAAGCCGGGGTTCCTAAACACCCCCACTGCCATATCCCGAGGCTGCAAATGGGGGAGAAAACCAGGCGATGTTTCTTGAATTAACTGCTCCTGTGTCCTCACTGGCCCGGGTTAATTCACCTCTATTAAGCATTTCGTCATGCCAGTTCTTGCCCTGATGTACTCAGTTTGGTCTCCTATAACTAGCACTGCCCCCAGTACATCCCCAACGGGGAAAAGGCACCACCAACCTGGTACTGCCAGATGCCATGAGGAGGGACACCCCCGCTTGTCTCTGTTTGGTCCCCCCCAAAGCACCAGTTATACTGCTGCAAGGCAGGGATACTTGCACTGTGCTGGGGCAGTCAAACCCTTAGGGACCTCATTAAACTAAAAATGAAAAAACACTTCCAGGGTCACACCGGGAAGTCTGTGGCAAACCAAGGGCTGAATTAAGCTCTACTGACTCCCAGCCTCCTCATTTCGGTACGAGATCGTCCTCTTCTTATGGACCAGCCCCACACTTTGAGGTGGTGACTCTGGCTGTGGGCAGTTTATCCGGGGTGGGGGTTTGGTGTAGGCTCTACTCTGTGCCTTTTGTGTATTGCAAAGTGTCTTATCTTGAAAACATTCCCCCTTCATGGATGGGAAAGTTTCCTCCTTTTCCTGATGCTGTTCCCCTTTGCTGGAAGTGCTCTGGGTGTCAGGATCAGGCCCATGAAGTCCACAGCTCCGTTTCAGGTCTGATGCAGCCTGAGGAGAGTTGGTGACTCAGTAGGCAGCACTGGTGATTCACCAGGACCACCGACCCCCCCGGAAGCTGTTGTGGTCTGGGGGAAGGTTTCTGTGCAGAGGGGATATAAATCACCCTGAAGCAGTGGGCATTGATCAGAATAAAGGGTCTTCTGGGAGTCTGTAACACCAACTTCTCAAATAACGGGCTGTAAAACCATCAGGAAAATAAAACCTCCTTGAGGTTCCCTTTGTATTCCTGTTCTCCCCCTAAGAGTGGGAGAGCTGGGAGGAGGTGTTGGTTACTTAAGGGCTAAGGTGGTCTCACCTTGGCCAGCTTGGATGGGGCTTGGAGCAGCCTGGTCTAGTGGAAGGTGTCCCTGCCCATGGCAGGGTGTTGGGACTGGATGGTTTTTAACGTCTTTTCCAACCCAAACTGTTCAATGATTCTATGTTATGAGCAGGTTTCCCCCGCAAGCATGGCCCCAGGCAAGGGGCAGCTAGTATAGGCAAGTAGGCCAAATGGTACCATCCCTCACTTTCTTCCTTTCAGGGGAGTGAGCATGTCATATCTTTCATCTGTGTAGGTGCAGTTTCATTATGGGTGAGCTTCAGTCCCAGCCACAGCACTGGTTGTGTGGTGGAGGGAAGATCATGCAGCAAGATAAAATAAGGACTCTTCCCTTGGTGCTGACAAGGATTCTATTATCTATTGATTAAAACCAAAGCAGCCCAGCTCTCTGCGATGAGCCATCTAGTATTTGCAGAAATGACCTCCGGGAAGCTAGGTTGAGTGGGGAGGGGGAAGAGGAGATTGCTGGAGGATGGGATGAGGAGATGACTCACTGTAAGAATGGCCTGCAAATATCCTGATCCTCAAGGCTTGTAATTAACCATTCACCAGCTGCATGCGTTTGCTGCCCCAGAGACATGAGCCATGCATGTCTGTTCGAACACACACGCCGATTTGGCTGGCGTGGATTTCTGTGTTCATTCAAGAGTAGAAACAACAACACAGGGAGTCAATGGCTATTTATATAAGCATATTTTTCCTATGCAATGGCAGTGGTTGGAGGCCAGGGAGGAGATAAGGTCAGCTATGCAAAACAAGAGGATTTAAAAGTCTTCCCTGTGAAGGGCAGTTGGAGATCAGGGAAGCGGAGGAGTGTGGAGAGCTGCCTGTGCTTGCTGGCTTTTCACACTGCAGGTTGTTAGGGATATTTTATCGACCCAGTTGTTGTGGATATCACTTTATCACACACACAAACACCCCTTATGGTCTCCATGGTCCCTTGGCTGCTTGACCTGCTGTGAGCTCTGGGGCGTGCTGACTGCTTGTGGCTAGGGAGTAGGAGGAAAGGTGCAGGTGCTGGGTGCCAGCTCACTGCCAAGTCACCCTCCAGCCCTCCGTCATGGAACACACTTTCATCACCCTCAGTGGGCTTTGGATCGTGCTGGCCTCTTGCAACACGAGGACCCCACGGCAGGGCTGAGTGGGCGATGGTAGCACGTCATGAATTCGAGCACACATCTGCTCAAACATTGCAAACCAATGACACAGCAGTGGTACGGAGCCGAAATGTCAAGGTACCAGGCAGCCCGTGGTAGGGGCCCTGCGGCTGCTCAGATCTTCAGTGCTTCCTTTGTTTCATAACCTTTCCTTGCACCGGGCACCTGCACTGACCCCGCTTATCAGGGTGAACCAGTTGCAGGTGAATGAATCACATTGGGGTTTTGCTTTCTGAGCTGTGTTTACTTGAGGGCCCTGCTCTGGAGGATTATTGAATCTGGCTGCTCAAGAGTTTTCGCAATTCATTTGGGTTCTGAAAGAGCACAGGTGGCAGACATGTGGCACGCCACTGACGTTTCCAGGCTGCTTCTGCTACCTGGCTTATTCACATTCATTTTAGAGATCCTGTGTTTCCGTGCAGTGTATTCCCAGCCTGGAAACAGGGTGATTTAGCTGACGACAAACTTTGAGTAACAATGTAATAACAGGATTAATTCCTTTTCATTAGCAGTGCACTGAATGAAATGAATGCAGCCCTTAACCATGCAGGATAGCTCATGTGGGGCTATTCAGTTGTCAAGTGCTGTCACAGGATTTCATTAAGTTTTATAGCTGTTATTTAATAGATTGGTTTCAGTGGGACTGTCTTCATTACCTCGCCGTCTCGTGCATTGTGGTGATTAATGACACAGTTGCAAGCATCCCCCTCTTGTGCTTATGTCCGTTCAGAAATGCAAGTAAAATAGTCCTCATGCTGTCACAGTGTAAATAGTAATGACAGATTTAGAGATGAATCCTGAGCACAGACATCTTCATCTCAAACACTGGGAATACTGCTCTTACATAAAACCTGTGGGAGGGAGTTTAGTCCCTGCTGTACTGAAGTTAATGGTTGATAGATTCGATAGAATTACATTCACTAACAGTTTTAATCTGGATCCACCAGCTTTTGGCAAGTTAATAATTGTCAGCAGTAATAGAGGTTTTACTTTGGGTGCCTGAAGCCTTTTAAACAAAGGCATTTCTCAGGGGAGCACTATCCCTCATTAACCCCCTGGGGCCCATCGCTGTGCAGCGCTATCCCACTGCATTGCAACCGATGGAGCCTCATTTCTCCTCTAGTTAATTAAACCAGGTTTTGCAAGCACAAACATTCATATCTTCCTTTTTCTTTTTCCCTTTTTCTCCCTAGGGGGTTATGAAACCTTTAACTCGCAATATCCTGAGTGCTGTGTGGATGGAAAACTCATTTCCCTGGAGAGGACTGAGGCAGAGAGAAACCTTGCCAGCCACTGTGAGAAGCAGAGCACCAACCACAAACCTGCTTATGACCAGGTATGTGTCACGGCTGCAGTGGATGATCTTCCCCATGGGTCTTCTTCCCCCCTACCTCTGGGCTCTGGAGGCTGGCAGGGTGCTGGTGGCCCTTGTGCTGATGTGGGCTGTCAGTAAGTTGTCACAGTCCGAGTTGACAGCCCATGTGCTGAATAAGATGCCCTGGTCAGCGTTGCCTCTGCCTGGTTTCAAAATTAGGCAATAGAAGGAGTAAAAACACCCTGTCCAGCCCCAAAACTGTATCTGTGTCCCATCTATCACACAGCCCGGCAGCAGCTCATGCCTCCCCAGGAGACTTAAAATGAGTAGTAGAGGAGAGGCTGCCAGGAGCATCATTTTCCAGCAGGCAAAGTAGTATGCACTGCTTGAGCCTCCTCTGAGAGCCCAGGAGGAATCTGAGCCTGGTGGAGAGGGCCATTGTTGTAGGGCCACTTCTGAAGAGGCTGTGGCTCCTGAGAGCCGCCCTTGGGCAGGGGAAGCCGGGTTTCCACAGGGGAAGTCACTGCATGCTGGCCCAGCCCAGGGAATACGTGTGCTCCGAGATGTCACCCTGCGGTCAGGCTGCTTCCGCCGAGGCGTGCGTTTCCTGGCACTCGGGGGGAGCCCCTGGTGATGCCCCCGTGCATCTCCCACCGCAGGCTCCATCCTTCCGCCCTGTGTGGTTCCTGCCTGTCCCCGGTGTGTGGACCCTGCAGTGGGGGCAGCTGTGGGGGTGGAAAGCTGTTTTCTCACAGCTGGGGGCTGGCAGCAGCGCTTGTGCATCATGGAAAGTTACCTGTGATCTCAAAACCCTGGTGTCAGGCGATGGCTGGTTTTGTTTCTTTCACAGTCTCGTCACCCAGCCTTTGCTTGCGCTGAGGAAGGAGGAACCGAGATGACATCTCGGGGCGGGTGACGCAGTGGGTGCTGCTCTCCAGGGAGGTGTGAGGGGATGAGGAGCTCCAATTTTATTGCTTTACTTCAGCTTTGGAGGTTTAAGTGGAGGGGCTGAGCCCTGGGCTGAGTTAGAGCAGCCTCCTCCTCTGTCCTCCTTTTCCTCCCTCCTCAGAGGTGGCTCCCCACCTCGCCTGTGTTTTGGTAAAGCCCCGGAGGGAATGGACCTCTCGCATCTGAAAGCGCTTTGGTTGCATCCTGAGGGGCAGCACTTTAAAGAAAGCCAGAAACATCCTGCACGTGAGTGGGCTGGATGTGACTTTGTGCTTCACAGATGTGGATAGGAAAATGAAAACCTTCTTGCTGCGTGGGCTTTGCCATCGCACTGATTTGCTGGCCGGCAGCACTGGGGTCCAACAGCACCAGTGGGAGAGGGAGCGGGCACCCACGCAGGGTATCAGGACTTAAATACTCTTGGAAAGGAATTACATGTTTCTACTTCTCTTCCAGGGTGGTCCAGTTGAAATCCTGCCTTTTCTCTACCTTGGTAGTGCCTATCACGCTTCCAAGTGCGAGTTTCTCGCCAACCTGCACATCACGGCCCTGCTCAACGTCTCCAGGAAAAGCTCAGAGTCCTTCAAAGACCAGTACTGCTACAAATGGATCCCAGTGGAGGACAGTCACACAGCAGACATCAGCTCACACTTCCAGGAAGCCATTGATTTCATTGGTAGGTCCAAATGAATATGTTTCCAGACCTTCATGTATTTTAAAGTCATTTATTTTAAAAGACGTGTTGGTGGGAAGGACACATAATTTCATGTATGTTCCCAGATGTCCAGCAAAAGTTTATGCTCCCTCCTTCCCAAGCATTTCTCCTGGTAGAGGGATTTCTATGAGGAAGGAAGGAAGGAGGGACATTCAGAGCAATGTCTTTGTCCTCTCCAGGCTGAGAGGCTCAGGAGAGGAAATGCCTCCTCTTGACTGCCATCAGGCAGATGAGGCACGTATAGCAGGGTAGATCCATTTTCAAAGCAAGCGTAGGTGTAACTTCAGCATGACAAGGAGCAAAGACGTATGGTTGAATAACACCAAAGTCTATTGATTTTTTGCAAAGGAAGAAAACCCTATTGTTTCCTTGGTCTTGCATACCAGACCCTAGAAAAGCCAGGTGAAGCAGAGTGAGCTTATTACTTTGCTCTGCTGCGATATCCTAAAGCCAGTGTCTTAGAAATCCAGTATCTCCCCGTGTCACAGAGCTCCTTCCATTGCTCATTTTGTTCGTACCAGTATCCCACCCTTAAATACCTGGATGCAAAGCAATGAAGATGCCTTTAGAAAACTCTGGGCCATCCCTTTCAAATCTTCCTGTATAAGGCTGGGGAGGTGAGTGCGCATCGGCTCTGCCAGGTAGCACAAGGGAGAGGCTCCTTGTACAGTGCGGTTTAGTGGGGTGGAGCAGCTGGAGACAGGGTGATGGTGAAATCAGTGCTGTTGCTCTCCAGGAACATTCAAGAGAGAAACAGAATAAACCCCCAGTTACAGATTCACTGGGCTCATTGCTCAACGGAGCTCAGTCCTTCAGCAGTGCAGGCAGAACTGCAAAAACCTTCCCTTCTTGGTACCTCTCAGGGAAAGGATAATTGATGACATTCTTCTGCCCCATCCCCATCCCCTTCCGATAATTGAGTCAATTGGAAACTTCCCAGGTTGAGGATGACTTTAGATTTCACTTTCTTTTAAATCTGGGTGTGTGGTGTCAATGCTGCAGATGACTCAAGTCCATGTCTTCCTTATTTTGTGCGGTAGTTAAATATAACCGGTTGTGGTGGCACCAGTCCCCAGGCAGACAATTGAAGACAGGCAAATGATAACTTGCTCAGCTCTGCGTTGTTCCACTGAGTGCTACACTCAGCTCAGTTATCCATAAATTGGAGCCTGAACATATTGCTCAAGGCAATAGAGCAAAGAATGTCTATTTTTGAACTGTAGTTTTTGTGTGGAAAGGGTTTATTTTAAGCACATTCTCTTTAATCTAATAACAATCATTGTGTTGTGTGAGTAACCACAGTGGCTCCTGTTGTGTAAAATGGGTGCTTTGCATAAGCCTTTTATATCCTGACTTAAGTCCAAGCATCCTTTAACCAGGCTGTAATTAGTAACTGCCTACCAGCCCTTGTGTGCTTTGTGGTGAGGCCCCAGGGAGTGAGCTCAGCCTCTCCACCCAAGGGCACCCACCAAGGTCTCAGCACTTGGTACTGCCATGTGCTGCTAACCAGCCAAACAGGGAATTAGGACTTAGAAGTCCTGGTTTTCTAGCAAAGCTGATGAGATGAAGGCAGCCCTGCAGCATCTGAAAGACCTGATGGTTTGGGCTTGGGTCAGCACTTTGAGCTCAGGCAGAGAAGTGAGGGTACAGCAAACGCAAGCATTGCCCAGATACCTGATCTCTATCTTGCAATGCTCTGCAAAGTCAGTTGTTCCAAAAAAGAAAAAGGCATGTGGGAAGGAGAAACGGAAGCAATTTCCTAAAAAATACAGAAAGAACCAAATCAGGACACACAGATTCTGAAACCAAGTGCCATCTGCAGCTCAGCTCCATCTCTGGGTTTTGTCCCTCTTCTCTTTTAATCTTCATGTTACCCTTAGTACTCAATGAAGGAACAAGCCTCTCTTTGCTGATGGACTGTCTGTACCTTCAGTGCTGGGTGCATGTCACAGTGTCTCTACATCCCCAGTGATAACTGATGTTTGCAACACCTTTTTTTCCCCTAGATCATGTCAGACGAATGGGGGGCAAGATCCTGGTGCACTGCGAAGCGGGGATTTCACGCTCTCCCACCATCTGCATGGCGTATCTCATGAAGACAAAGAAGCTCCGTTTGGAGGAAGCCTTCGATTACATCAAGCAGCGCCGGAGCCTGATCTCGCCAAACTTTGGTTTCATGGGCCAGTTGCTACAGTATGAGTCAGAGATCTTGTCTTCCACCCCCAGCCCCCCCATCGCCTCATGCAAAAGAGAAGCTGCGTCTTTCTTTGCGGAAGAACTGACCTTAGGCAAAGACTTTGAAGGCTCCTGTTTTGCCTTTCCTACCTCAGTGTTGAGTTCTGTGCCCATCCACTCTCCTGTCCACCAGCTGAAACTCAGCCCGATGACAGCATCTTCATCCTGCTGAAAAACCCTGGGAGACCAGAGCTGGTGTGGTTCTCTGATCCGAACTGTGACCCCCAACAAGAACATTTCATGAACGTGCAATAGAGAAACCCCCTCGACTTGGTCCAAGATGGAGTGGTTGTCATGGGTCATACTTCCCGTGTGCTGTGACTGTGAGACACAAGTGTGGCAGGTTCTCTGAACTTTTATGGTCCTTTTTTAAATCAAGAAAGTGCTTTTTTAGGTTTTTATCCAGAGTGTGCACCCACTACTGTATTCCCAGATTCCTCGGGAGCAATGAGAAACCCATTTAGTATGTTCTCAGTTCCCACCTCCTTCCCTTCTTGTTTCTTAAAAGACCCTTATTAAACATTTCAAGCAATAAACAGCAGCAGCAGGAAGGAAAGCAAAGTGAAAAGCATGACCTTTGCATCCGCAGGGGTGGTGGGAGTGAATATTTGTTCTGCTTTACCTCCCGCTTTCCTCCTCCCCTCTCCTGTGTCATGTTTCAGGGAGCAAAGGGCTGGGGTGGTGAGAGGGAGCTGCTTTCCCAGGACAGGGTTGCACAGCCAGGTGAAAATCCCGTCCTGCTCCAGCCTCTGAAGTGTCAGGTATTGACCATAGTGTAACTGGATACCAAACTAGACCATGGATCCATTCAGGTGTTGCATTTCCTGTACTTCTGCATTTGCCTTTGTACTGGATGTGCTTTTAACTAAGGCAGGGGACTTAACAGAAGCTATCAGGCTACCCTGCTGAGCTATTATCCTCCCATCTGTTATTTAAGAACAGCCCTAGAATACTTGAATGTCTCAAATCCTCTGTTCCAGTTAACTTCCCATCAGATAACACTGTAACTGCTGGATTTTACACCAAAAAAACCTGACAAGCTCCAAGCCAACTCTTTCTCCATCCGTTCCCATGTGTTCCTAACTTGTATTGTGTGTGGTCAAGTGGTCTTGTTCAGTGTTATGTGGCTTTTTAGTGTGCGTGTGTGTGGTCACCTTCTAGCCAGCCTTTGTCTGTGAAAACCGGTTTCTCTCTCTTTGGCTTCTGCATCTGCAGGGAGTTCACAATGAGCGTCTCTCTTTGTCTGTTGACCTTTTTATTTTTTGTAATATGTAATTGTATGGGAAATGGCAATAATTTCCAGGAGATCTCGTGAATGTGAAAGAAAACCTGCAATGGGTTTTTATGGAGTGTAAAGACTAATAAAGGAAAAAAAAAGCCAGGAAAAGAAAGCTTGTTTGTATTTGGAGTGAGCTGCTAAAGTGCTTTGGCAGAGTTTGGTGGCCACAAAGGTCACCTGAGACAAAGTGTCATGGCCCAAAAGTGATGTAAGGAGGTAGAAGAGGAGGGTGAGCATCACTGGGTTCTGCTGAAAGCCTCTAAGGTGCATCTCTAAGGAGGGGAAGACGGTGAGGGGGAGGACTGTTTTAAACAGAATGACATGAGTCACGGTGGCGTCACTTCCCAGCAGCCAGGCAGGAGCTTCTGGTTTGATTCATGCATGTTTTATATAAGATTTGCTATCCTGATGAAGATCTGAGCTAGGCACAGCCCCCACTTCCTTCCTGAGCACGTGCCATGGGATGCTATATGTAATGGCCCCCAGCGTGATGCTCGGTGCCATGGACCACCCGTGAGCATCACGCTGGGGACCATTACATGGGGGTAATACTCATCTATTCGTTTCTTTAAGTGGAAAGCATTAATTTGAAGTGCCAGCATCTCTAAGTCATTTCAGCCCCCTTTTTGGCTGGAAGATCTGGCTCATCACTGCAGCACATTTGTAATTTGCAGCTCCAAGTTATCAAGTTGAAAAGTCTATGGTAGGTGTTTGAGCTACAGAGCATCTCTGTGCCTTGTGGGGCTCATCTCTGTAACTTTTTATCCTAAGGGAAGCAAATCTGACGGGTGAGAAGCCGTCACTGGAGATGAGCCTTGGATTGTTTCCCTGTGTCAGGGGGATGTAGGAGCAGTCCTGCCTGGGATCTGGAAAACCTGAACATGGGAATATGATCCAGGAAAAGCAGATCAATTAATGTTCTGAAAGATGCGATTGCTCCCCTTGGGGAACTGGAAAGTGCTCTCAGCCCCCACAAGCACCCAAGCAGAAAGGCTGCTAGACTTAGTGACAGTGGCTGCATTCTGGAGACCTTGACAGAAAGAGAGTAGCTACTAGCTGTCATTAAAGCAGCATAAAATCCCTTCTTGGAGAATGACCATCTTTGTTCCTCAAGGATGAGGAAACTGAAACCTGTAGAGCTGGTGATGTTTGCCATGGGAACCTTCAGAGCATGAGACAATGGGCTGAAGGGGTTAATGGAGGGGCTGCTGGCCTTGGAAGATTTGACCACTGCAGTGGAAAAGGCCACAGGCCAGGAGGAGGAGCCAGGTATTTAGCAGAGAGGGAAGGGAGCTGCTCTGGTTTAGGAGAGGGACTCTGATCCTGATACAGTGTGGTGGTGGATGGTGTTGGCAGAGGGAGATGCTGGGCTGGGATTCAGCAAGGATGAAGGGCCAAAGCCCTGTGGGAGCCTGAAGAGGGATGGTTGTCATGCCTGGGCAGAGGAGCCTGAGGTTTGTGCTCCTGCTCAGGGAACAGTTCAGTCTACTTGGCTGGTCCCAATCCATGTCTCCTCCCTGCAGAAACAAGCCCCAGCATCCAGGGCAGAGCGGGATGTAAACGCTGCCTCCCAGAGGAACGTGCTCCCCTGCTCGTGTCTGCTTTGCTGTTTCAGTCTAATGTAAGACCTCTGCCCCTAGCTCAGCTCCTTGCTTGGCCAATCCCACCTCTCTGAGGGGACATCACAGCTACCTGACTGCAGGGCTTTGGTATTAGAGTACGTGCTCTCCTCCCTCCCTGGACATGCTGCTCCCACGGGCAGGGAGGAGCTGAGGACCCAAGCACCAGTGTGTGAAGGTGAATGTGACAAATCAGGGTGGTACCTACCTGAAAGATGGGATGTATGAGTTTGAACTGCATGGGCAAGGCAGGAGCCCTGGTTCTCTGCTTCCAGATACCAACACACAAAAGCTACCTCCATCCTTAGCAGAAGGAACATCTCCAATTATATTTTGTGGCTTGTGTGCTGAGCGAATTTGACAGACTGGGTAGGATGGAAGATTTAGCAGGCTTTCTTAGCCAAGATGGGCTTGGTTTTGGGTAGTTGTCTCCTAAGGATGGAAGTTCACATTCAGGAAGGTGTGTGGGGAATGTCAGAGCTGCAGAATGGGGGTTGACAGTAATGGGAGCTGAACTGGCTGGTTCAAGATACCTGTGTCTACCTGCCAGCTAACCCTGGCAGAGGAATAAGGATCTCAAAAACAAAGTTCTGATTGAAAGTAGAGACCTACATACACGTAACAACAAGGGGAAAGCTAACACAGGATGATTTCAGACATCAGAAAAGGCAAGTGAGGGAAAGATGCCAGGAATACTGTACCCTTAGGCAAAGCTTTGATTAGAGTTTATTCCTTATGATACCTGAATCCAAAGGAGATGAGAGGAAGTGTTAGAAAAAAAGGGAAATTTGCAGGTTATACTGCCCATAGAAGTGCTGCTTCAGGGTTGTGATGGGATGTGAGCATCTCTCTCCCTTAAAACTCCTGATGGTGCACCTTTATGTCCTGGACTCTTTGGTGTCAGCTGGGGAATGTTTCAGATCCTTGTGTGGGGATAAACAGGGCTCGTACCACCGTTTAGTGGTCCCTTGCGTTTAGGCTTGCAAAGAGCAGTCATGTTGCAAGCATGAGTGCTGATGCTCAGCCTCTGTCTCTATTTTGTACATGCTGCCTTTCCTCTCTGCCTCCAAGACAAACAAACTCTTCAGTAAACTGCCACAAAAAATACATGTATTGACATGCTTGCAAATCACACTGTGAAGAGATATGGGGTGGGGGTGGATGGGTGGGTGTTATCCTTAAGTGTCCCTATGTGTTCTTCCATATAATTTGCTGGTGTGATTTCCAGCCTATGCTGATTACAAAGGCTTCTCTTGCTTCTCTGATTAAAGGACTTTTCAAAAGACAGAAATTCCATCCTGACCAGGTAAAATTCACCTGCTCCATGGGGAGTTTATACTGAGGTGCCCATCCCCAGTCCCTGAGCAACACAAGGTAGGGTAACTCTCCTTAGCTTCTTGCCTTCTGGTTGTGAGCTGCTTTGGCTTTTTAGGAGACAAAGCTCAATGAGCAAGGTATTCTGCAGGCATTGTTATTTGTACGCTAAAAGCAACACTTGCCTTGCTGGGAAGCCAAAGGTCCAAATGTGCTTGTAACATGGCAGAAATAAGTGAGGCTCTGGGCATGGTGAATCTCACCCTCCATCTTCACTTTTCACAGCTTCATGCTAATTGGAGAGGAGACACACCGCCAGCTCACTCTCTGGGGAGAAAAAGGCAGGAACCAATTTGCAAAACCATATAAATATGGAAGTAGGATTTTTTTTTGGCGTGGGAGGTGTTACCAGTACCACACATTACGGTTCCTGGGCTTTATCACATCGTAGGCTTTTACTGAGACATGAGTAAGTTCACTAAATAAGGAATATGAAAACAGCTTGTGAAACGGGTTGAGTCATCAGAGAAAATCAGATGGAGTTCTGACACCAGGGCCTCAGTTGTAAAGTCCTACTTTGTTTTGCCATTGCATTATAAGCAATGGGATCGTTTCAGTCTGTTTATGTCAGCCTCAGAATTCAAAGCACTCTGACATCCAAGTAAGGCTTACCAAATGAGTTCATTTTTCTATAAGCAGCTGTGGTGTATCCCTATGCATCCTGCCTGTGAATACTTGCAGGGAATGTAAAGATTACCAAGAGAAATAACTTCTGCGGTTATAGCTGAAATGCTTAGCACTTCTTCCAGCTTTGTCTAGTCACTTAAGAGGATTTATGGCCCCTAGATATCCCTTTCAAGTGCTAGCTTCCTGGCTGTTACTTGTAGCTCCTGAGAATCCTAGCAGGACCTGTTGTGCCAGGAGCTGTACAAGCACCAAACAAACCCAGAAAGCCAGAAACACAAGACCGGGAGTGACAGTGGTAGATAGCAAGGGATGAAGAAGCTCAAAACACCTTAGAGGCAGCACTGACCTAGGACTCTCCCTTCTGTCAGGGATTTTTTGCATGGGCCAGAATAGGGCATGGGAGACCACGGGTAACATGCATGCATGGGATCCTTGGGACCCACTAGTCCTGTAAACTGTGGATTTATGTAGTATAAATCCTACAGCTACATGACACAGGGATCCCTGCCCCAGCCTCAGCCCATGCTCATTGCAGTCATAATTAGGATTTCAGGACAGGCAACACATAAAGGTGTCTCATCTGCTGGGACTCTTAGATATTCAGAAGTGACAGGAAAACCAATGACAACCTCAAACTCCTTTGGCATAACCATTTTTCTAGATTTCGTTTTACTGCACTACTCACGATAGTAAAGTTACTCACATGAGCAAGCATTCATTGGACCAGGCTTGAGGCTCCCAAGTGAAACGACAATGTAGGGTTTTATGGGCTCTCCTTCGTATGTGTGTGTGTGTGAATAGTGGTTTATTTCTGTCATACAGATACTCCATTTCTGAGATTCCTTTGTAAAGCAGGCAGCTTTCGATAGTGAGTCATCTTTCATTATTAAATTGCCCATACATTGTGAGCGCCTCCAGGCCCTGATCCAAAGCCTATTGCCATCAGTGGGGAGGACAGCTCCCGAATACAGTGGGTTTCAGATCAGGCCCTGGATGAATCTTTCCATTAAGCCTTTATCTTAAGGAATGGCTTGTTCTAATCAGAACTAAACTTGCTGCTGCATTAAAATGGAATATGAGGTCTACGCGATTCAAACTGGAACAGCGGGTATATCCTCTCTGCTCTAATGCCTCAATCATGTTCAGTCAAGTTAACTGGAAAATCAATTGACACAAATTCCAGCAGGACCATTAACTGCCATCCGGCTGGGCCCTGAGAGGCTGGCCAAGATGAAGCAGATTTCTAACAGGGATGGAGCAGACCTGTGCATGTTCATCACCTGGAGATGCTGTCAACCTGAGGTCTCCCTAGCAATGCCCATGTTGCCCCGAGTAATTACTGTGGCTAACAGAGAGCCTGGGGGGTCAGGCAGTCTGGGATTAATTGTGGGCTCTCCCCTGGCTTTCCAAGCAAGTGGTGCAGCTGCTCTGTGCACTCCTGCTGGCACAGTCACATTTGTCAAAATCATAAAGGAAGTGAGTGAGACCTGGA